CCTCAGGGCCAGTCCTTCTTGCCCTAGGACTTAGAGGCTCCAAAAGGAATGGGGATGCCTCCTTCTTCCCATCAGATTATCCCTCACGTCCAAGAAGACACCCTCTCCTGTGCCCACTACCTTCTTCTATAGGATTCCCCAGGCTTCTCTTATCCTATAAGGTGGGCGGGGCTGGTGGTGAGGAGACAGTCGCTGACTCTCACTCAAACATCTGGCACCCAGAACCCATCAATGTATGATGTGGAAACACAGGTAACTCATCAGGTTAGAGAAGCCAGGCACTGGCTTCCCCAGGCCCTAGGGGCTATAAGGAACCTCAAAGTCGGGGCCCAGCATCAGGAAGTTAGTGAGGCTGGGGGAACGTCAGGAGCCCTCTCAGAGCAGAAGAGAAAAGCTGTATCTTAGGGTTGTTCAGTCAAAATACTCACATCAAGCTTAGCTTCAATAAGGCTAGTGAGATCAAATGGAATACTTTTGACCCGAGATAAGATTTGTGTGTATTTGTTTATGGCCAGCCTTGTGTCCTGTTATAATAAGAATGCATGCCCTGGGCTATGTTTTAATTTTCATCTTCTTGATGGTTCACGTTGTTAATAATGATGTGTGATCTCTAAGAATCATGGAGGGAACCCTGCAGGAGGAGGTACGGGCCTGAATTTACAACCCCCGCTCCCCCCTCCCCAAGGCCAGCTGTGAGGCAGGCTCAGAACTTTCTTTCTCTCTCTGGGCCCCCTTTTACTTATCTGTGGAATGGGTATGATAATGGGTAATAATAGTCTGTCTTGCCCACTATTCCAGGACCCAGGGGAATCTAACAAAACAGTGTGTTTAGCAATGAATAATGCTGTGTATTTACATTACATGATGGATTTTGCCAGTAAATGTGGGAATTGGTGAACTTTAGACCTTCTCAGGGAGCCAAGGGACGAGGCTGAGGTCCTTACTTGGTTGGGGAATTAAAGGGGCAGTTTTGCCCCTCTCTTCCTCGGCGCTGCCTACCAAGGTGGCAGCCATCTCCTACCCAGCATCATGGCTGCCCTCAGAACCCTGGTGAAACCCAAGATCGTCAAAAAGAGGACCAAGCAGTTCATCCGGCACCAGTCAGACTGATATGTCAAGATTAAGCGTAACTGGCGGAAACCCAGAGGTATTGACAACACGGTGCGTAGAAGATTCAAGGGCCAGATCTTGATGCCCAACATTGGTTACAGGAGCAACAAGAAAACAAAGAACATGCTGCCTAGTGGCTTCCGGAAGTAACTGGTCCACAATGTCAAGGAGCTGGAAGTGCTGCTGATGTGCAACAAATCTTATTGTGCTGCGATTGCTCACAACGTTTCCTCCAAGAACTGCAAAGCCGTTGTAGAAAGAGCAGCCCAGTGGCCATCAGTCACCAATCCTAATGCCAGGCTGTGCAGTGAAGAAAATGAATAGACAGCTTGTGCACGTTTTGTGTTTAAATGAAACCATAAAAACTGAAAGGGGGGGCAGTTTTATCTGCTCCCCTCCCCATTCCCATATATCCAAGGGTCCTACTTGGTGTCAGGGCAGAATGAGACCCAGGGAAGGCTAGAGGATGCCAGGGACTGGCCAGACCATGAGGCCACCTCTCTGCCTCCAGAAACCCTTTAGCAATAAATCGGTGACTTCTGCTTCTTGCCCTGACAAAGTGACAGGAAACATTTACCATCCTGCTTTAAGTAGAGAAACAGACACGAATTGTGAAGCAGGGGTTTCTCAGACATTGGACAATAGTGTAGAACTGTGATTCCTGAGAGAAAGGAGATAGTGTGAGCTCTACAATGGCCCCAGCTTACTGTCTGGAGTTTCCAGGCTACAGAGCATAGATGGAGAAGCTCAGCAGTCTTGCAGAATCGAAATAATAAAGTTCAGAGACTGGGGACACAAAGACAGCTAACATTCATGGGGCAGAGTTTCAGAGAGGAGGGGACTGCACAGGAGAGTCCTGAGGTCTTCAGGTTTCCCTCTGGCTAACCTATTTATATATGAGAAGGAAAAAAGAACTACTGGAAAGTAGTAGACCAGAAAGTTGTCAGAGCTCAGATAGGGCAAGGAAGGTAAGTGTTCCCCCTTGCTGGAATGGAAAGATTTCACAGTCCCCAAGGCATGGGTGGAGTCCTCAGAAGAGTATCACTTTAGTAGTGGAGCTAAATAAGCCCTAGGCTAAGGACCTTCTAGACCCTCCCTAACAAAACTAAAAACAGTCCTGAAAGGGATTGATCTGGGCAGGGTTTGGTGACTCAGCCTGTAATCCCAGCACTTTGGGAGGTTGAAGTGGGTGGATTGCCTGAGGCAGCAGGTTCGAGGTTAGCCCAGGCAACTTGGCGAGACCTCATCTCCACAAAAATTTTAAAAAATTAGCCGGGTACAGTATTGCGTGCCTGTAGTTCTGGCTACTTGGAAGACTGAGGCAGAAGGATCACCTGAGCCCAGCGGATCAACGCTGGGGTGGCTGTGCCTGTAATCCCAGTCCTTTGGGAGGTCAAGGCAGGAGGATTGTTTGAGCCCTAGAGTTTGAGACCAGCTTGGGCAACATAGTGAGACCTTGTCTCTATAAAAAAAAGCTGAAAATGCTGGGCTCGGTGACTCAGCCTATAATTCTGTGCTTTGGGAGGCCGAGGTGAGTGAATTGCTGAACCCGCAGGTTCGAGGCCCATCTGGGCAACTTGGTGAGACCTCATCTCTACAATAAATAAAAAAAATTAGCTGGGCGTGGTAGCACGCACCTGTAGTTCCAGCTACTTGGAAGGCTGAGGCGGAAGGATCACTGGAGCCCAGCAGTTCAAGGCTGTGGTGGCCGGGAGCATGCCACTGTACTCCAGTCTGGGTGACAGAGTGAGACTCCAACTTAAAAAAAAAAAAAATTGAAAAAGTAGCCAGGTATGGTAGCACATGCCCAGCTACTCAGGAGGCTGAGGCAGAAGGATTGCCTAAGCCCAGGAGATTGAGACTGTGGTGAGCCTTAATTGTACCACTGTATTCCAGCTTGAGCAACGGAGTGAGACTCTGACTCAAAAACAAAACAAAACAAAACAAAAAACAGATAATAAAAACACCATGTTGGAGCACTGTGTGATGTATGATACTAAGAACACCAAGACAGGGTAGAAAGTAGAAGTATACCATTGTGAGGCTCTTATACTCTAAGTGGTATCATTTGAAAGTAGACTAATACATTAAATATGTGTAGTGTAATATGAGGGCAACTTCAAATAAAAAGCTATGTTTAATATATTAGTAGAAGAATCAAATGAAATCCTTAAAAGTACTCAACTACCAGCAATATGAGGTCAAGAATAGGAACAGGCCGGGCTCGGTGGCTCAGCCTGTAATCCCAGTGCTTTGGGAGGCCGAGGTGAGTGGATTGCCTGAGCCCGCGGGTTCGAGACCTACCTGGGCAACTTAGCGAGACCTCATCTCTACAATAAATTTAAAAAAAAATTAGCTGGGCGTGGTAGCGTGCCTGTAGTTCCAGCTACTCGGAAGGCTGAGGCGGAAGGATCGCCAGAGCCCAGCAGATCGAGGCTGCGGTGGCCAGGAGCGGCCACTGCACTCCAGTCTGGGCAACAGAGTGAGACTCCAACTCAAAAAAAAAAAGGAACAAAGAACAAATAACAAGAAGAGAACAAATAACGAGGAAAGATTTAAACCTAGCTGTACTGACAATTACATTAAATCTAAGTGGCCTAACCATTCCTACTAAAAGACAGATTCTTAGATTGGATTTTGAAAAGGAAGATCTTAGTGATATTTAAAATATGAAAATATGTAAACGCTATAAGGTAAAAGTAACAGAATGAAAAAAGATATACTCTGCAGCCACCAACCAAAAGAAAGCTGGAGTAGCTATATGAATAGCAGACAAAGTAGACTTCAGAATGAGGAATCAGGCCAAGGATAGAGAGGGACATTTCATAAGGTTAAAGAAGACATAATTATACTAAAAATGCATACATTTGTAATAGATTTAAATACATGCAGAAAAAACTGATAGACCTGGCAGGAGAAATACATGAATGCAAAATTCTAACAAGAGACTTCAATCCCCCTCTCTAAATAATTGGTAGAACCAGTAGACAGAAAATCAGTAGTCTACAAAAAACATGAGCACCACAACCAAATACACATAACTGGCATTTAAAGAACACACTGGCTAGGAAGAGCAAAACACACATTCTTTTCAGCTAGAAAATAGCAGAGCAGGATTGAAACCAGGCGTGTCTGCCTTTGGAGTCATTTTCCCTAAATCCAGCACAGTGTCTCAAATACACTGCTGTAGGGGAGAGAAAAATCAGGTGAGGAAAGAGAAAACCAAACGTGTTAAGTGAAACCCATGGGGGTGGGGGGGAGAATGAGTCCCTGCAGGCCATCTTGGCTGCAGATCCTGGTTCTGCCTCCTTGGGGGGATGGGGGTGTGTACAAGCCCATGTGTGTGGCCAGGTGTGCTCATGCGTGGGATCTAGGGGATGTGGCATTCTCTTATTTGTACATATGTTTTAAAGTTTCAGAACAGCACAATAAGGCACAGAGTGGGAATCTGTCTGAGATATGTGCTGGACTTTCATCAAGCGTGTTTTTAGATGAATCAACATATGGTCCAGCACTCTTGGTTCAGCCAGATCTTATGCCTTTGGGTCTTCTCTGTTTTTCCCTCTCTGGAATGCCCTTCTCTCTTTTGTCCTTTGGCAGGTTCCTACTCATCCCTCAAAACCCTGTTCTGAAGTTACCTCTGGGGAAGCCCTCCCGGATCCCCTGGTCTTCCCTGTATCATGGAAATCCCTCTGATGGAGGTCTCAGATTCTGTGGCATCATTTTTATTACTTTGGCCTCTCTTTTGGCCACCGGACTTCCTGCTTCCTAAGGGCTGAAACTGCATCTCCCTCCTCCATAGGTGTGTGGAGAGGACCAGAGCCTGACATTAACCGTGACTGTCCATCCAGCCCAGGTGAAAACTATCACTTTCCTTTCTCTTCCCTCAGCCTTAAAGACAAAAATCAAGGTGAACTCATCCCCCCTGTGCTGAGGTTCACGGTGACATACCTGAGAGAGAAAGGTGAGAGCGGGCTGCTGGGGGAACCTCCAGGGAGGTCCGTCTTGGATCCTGAGCCCCGTAGGCCAGGGGGTGTGACCAGAAACAGAGGGGCACAAGCACAGTGGCTCCATGTGTCGGCTGTGGCCTCAGATGGTCTGGGTTTGAATCCTGGCTCCCCTTGTACTAGCTGTGTGACCTTGGGCCGGTTACCTGCCCTCTCTGGGCCTCCGTGTCCTTGTCTGTCCAGTGGGGTTATAACAGAACCCGCCTCACGGGATTGTTGTGAGGCCTAAATGAACACCTGTTCACGGGAAGCCCTCCGTAACTGTCAGCTGTTCTCATTTGGTTTGTGGTTGCCATTACCAGTTGGGTGAGTAGGGTCAGGAACTTGGAGTGGGTGAGGCTCGTGGCTCCCCCAGGACTCCTGAGGCCCAAAGAGGAGGGTGTGGAGACTGTTGTCACTCTAGCAGTAGGAAGATAGTTCCCAAGCTGGGCTCAGTGACTCAGCCTGTAATCCCGTGCTTTGGGAGGCTGAAGTGAGTGAATTGCCTGAGTCCGCGGGTTCAAGACCCACCTGGGCAACTTGGCGAGACCTCATCTCTACAGCAAATCAAAAAATTCGCCGGGCGTGGTAGCACGCGCCTGTAGTTCCAGCTACTTGGGAGGCTGAGGCAGAAGGATCACCAGAGCCCAGCAGGTCGAGGCTGCAGTGGCTGGGAGTGGGTGACAGAGTGAGACTCCAACTCCAAAAAAAAAAAGGAAGATAGTTCCCATGTAGAACAGGCATGGGGAGACTGACCCAGTGCTGCAGGGACAGGGGCTGGGCGGGCTCGACTGAGGCAAGAACCCTGCTGGGGGCCTTGGTGATCCGATACCCTCTACCCCAGAGAGGGAGGGCAAGTTCTGATGGTAAGATGTTCTGTGCGACCCATCGTCTCTCGCTGGGGACCTGGCATGTCATTTTGAGCCATCTCTGTTTTGCCCAGATGTCCTTTGTATCTCCCAGTCTGCTGTGCATTTCAGATAGTACATAAAGACTGCAAATCAGAAACTGTCAAAGAGAGACTCTTTTCTCTCTCTTGCTCACTCTCGCTGTGTCTCGATGCAGGGGTGTGGCTGATCAGAGAGAGAGAGGAACTCCACCTCAAACCCCCAAAACACACACACACACACTCACACACTCTCTTCCTGTCCCACCTGTTGCTCAAGGCCTGGCCTCTGGGTGGTCTTTGGTCTTGCTGCAACAGGCCTCCTTATCCCGTCCGGTGTCCCAGCCCCTAGAGCTCAGCCTGGCCCCTCCTGCCCCCTCCTCAGCCTGTGGACCATGACCCCGTAGCTCCTCCAGCTACGTGTTTGCCCCCTGACCCTGGCAGGGCCGACTCCCCTCCACTCCCTAGTGCTCAGCTCAGATGGCACTTCCTCAGGGAAGCCCCTGACATGGCCAGGCTCCCTAAGGCAGACCCCAGGTCTACCAGGGTTCGGCACCCTGGGCCCGAGGCCCGGCCACGCTGTGGACCCTCTGGTGCTGTTTCTCATGGTTCCGTTCTACAGTTCGTTCCCACATGGCAGTTAAAGCCAGTCCCTTACCGCTGGGCCTTCCTGGTTTCGTGTGGGCTGGTTTTCCCTTTTGAACAGGCCAGGCAGGTGGTTCTTGAGGAACTTGCTTCTGAGAGATGGGGCCTGGGAAGCCCATCCTTACCTGTATGCCAGGGAACTCGAGAAATGTGCTCTGGTACCAGCACCTGTGTGCAGTCAGGATGGGTGAACAGGTGTGACAAGTTTGGGAGTCTGGAGTCCATTGCCCTCACACCCCGTACCCTGTGGCCCTGGCATCTCCCTCAGTCTTGGCGCTGAGCAGGCAAGGGAGCAGGTCTGGGGGAGTTCACACTTGGACCTCAAGTGGACCGCCTCTCCAGTCCCCACCCCCACCCCAGCCTGGACCGCCCTTCCCTGCCTTTTTATTTTATTATTATTTTTTTTTTGAGTTGGGGTCTCACTCTGTCGCCCAGATTAGAGTGCAGTGGCCACTCCCGGCCACCGCAGCCTCGACCGGCTGGGCTCCGGCAATCCTTCAGCCTCAGCCTTCCAAGTAGCTGGAACTCCAGGCGCACGCTACCATGCCTGGCTAATTTTTTTGATTTATTGTAGAGATGAGGTCTCATCAAGTTGCCTAGGCGGGTCTCGAACCCACGGGCTCAGGCAATCCACTCACCTCAGCCTCCCAAGGCGCAGGATTACAGGCTGAGCCACCGAGCCCAGCTTAATTTTTTGATTTATTGTAGAGATGAGGTCTCGCCAAGTTGCCCAGGCGGGTCTCGAACCCGCGGGCTCAGGCAATCCACTCACCTCCACCTCCCAAAGGCGCGGGATGACAGGCTGAGCCAGCGAGCCCGGCTCCTTCCCTGCCTTTTTAAATACAACTCCTCCCTACGATTCAGCCTTCAAGGGAAGCCCTCTCTGATTCTACCCATCTCCCAGTCAGAGTTGCCTTTTTCATGCTTCCCCCATTATTTCTTTCTTTCTTTCTCTCGGGAAACCTTCCCTGTGTACCTACCTTGTGCCAGACTCAGGATGTGAAAGTGAGCAGACAGGGTGGGGAAGGAGCAGTTGCTCACCCAGGAACCGCCCACATGCATGTACAATCACAGGGTGCTGAGTGCCCTAAGGGAAGGTTTCCAGGCAGAACCAGGGTCCTCGTCAGGGGGTCTAGCCTTGTGGAGGAACTTCCCTGAGGAAGTGGCAGTTGAACTGAGCTTTGGAGGAAGGGGTGGAGCTCGCCATCCTAGCGGGGCAGAAAGGCACTCCAGAGAGCAGGAGCAGAGGGTGCAAAGGCCCCGTGACCTGCTGGTGTGTGCATATGTGTGGAACTGTGAGAAAGCCAGGAGAAGGCAACAGATTAGACCGTGGGGTGGGCCTTGAGGCCCCATGAGGACTTGGACCTCCAGATGCCTGTGTGGCCATCTGTGGATTCTGGTGTGTTGCATCCTCCACTGACGGCAGGCCCCCCAAGGGCAGGCTCAGGCCCATTTTCCTGGCTCTGGAGCTGGCGGGGACCTGGCAGGAGGACAGCCGGCTGGTAGATCTCAGATAGAGGAGACCTCTCCCACCCCACCCCACACAGGCTTTGAGAAACCATGTGAGTCAGGGCTTTCATGAGCCAGTTGCAAGTATGGAAGATCCTCTCGATGGATTGACAGGGGAGGCAAGTGTTCTTTGCTCAGTCAGTTCTTCATCAGTGCTGCCCCTAGAACTTGGACGTCTTCTATGTCCACACTGTCTAAAAGGTGGCCGTCAGGCCCCTGTGGTAGTAGCCCCACAGGGCACGTCGTATGTGGCTCATGCAATTGAGTGACTGGATTTTTTGTTTAATTGCAATTAATTAAATCTAAATCCCCATGTGAAGCTAGTGGCTGCCAGGCTGGACGACTCAGCCCTAGGCCCTTGTGGGAAGCGGCGTGTCTGGGCACCACCTGGGGGCCAGGCACGGGCCGGGCATTAACCTGTTCAGTCGTCTCTGCAACCCTCAGAGGCAGGAGCTCATGGCCTTACTCTGTAGACAGATGAGGCAGGTAGGCTCAGAGAGGTTGAATGCTTTCTCCAAGGTTGCCCAGCAGGTAGGAGGCAAAGCTGGACTGGAACCCAGGTCTGGCTGAGATTGCCCTGTCTGTCTCTGTTCACCCTTTCCAGGGGTCAAAAAGGTGAAATCAAGTGGGTTGGGAATATGTAAAAGGCTTGAAGCATAAATAAAGGTGGGGACAAGGGATAGTGGAGGGGGATGGGGTGGGGGGGACCAGAGCTGGACCGGAGAGCGTTCACTGCCAGCCACAGGAGGGTGAGGCCATGGGCAAGAGGAGGCATAGAATGTTCTGGAAGCCCGGCGTGCTGGGTTCGCCCTGCAGGACTCCGCACTGAGGGCCTGTTCCGGAGATCGGCCAGTGTCCAGACCGTCCGTGAGATCCAGAGGCTCTACAATCAGGGTGAGTGTGCCCCTCAGAGCCCCATGCCCCGAGTGGGCACAGAACTCCAGTGCCTCAGAACCCATGACCGCATAGCCCCCACCGCCCCCCAAAATACTCAGGTTGGGGCAGTTGCCCAGCAGCCACCTGGTCGTCCAGAGTAGGGCCCTTTGCCTGGACACCGCCAGCCCTGCTGGGACGAGGTGGCTGCATGATGTCATTTTGCCTGTAGGGTCTCAGGTGGACGTGTGGCTTCAGGAGTACCCTGCATCACAGGGAAGCTTTCCTGGAGTCTGCCCTAATCAGCACCCCCCAACTGACTCTGCAGGCTTCCTCGCCTGCCATGTGTAACCAGGTGGGGGAACTCATCGCTCCGTCACTCATGAAGCCACGGTCTAGCTGGCAGGGTTGACCCTCAACTCCCACTCACTCCCACGGCTGGCTGCATATCACTCACCAAGCGACAGAGCTGTGTGGTGCAGAGTGGGGGTGCCTGACGGCCAGCCCGTCCCAGGCCTGTGTGCACACGGCATCGTGTTGTCCTTGCTGGGCACTGACGAGAGAGCCAAGGCCTGGCCTCAGAGAGCTCACATCCGAGCCGGGAGCAGTGCCACACCCCAGAGAAGCCAGTAGCCTGCCTCAGCCTCTGTTGGGTGCGCTGGAGAAGGCAGTAAGGGCAGGGCATGTAGCTGTGGGGGTGAGCAGGGCCGGGTACCCCATTTCCAGACTCATCCTGGACACGTGGCTCCAGCACAAGCCTCCTTCCACCAGGAGTCCTCAAGCCATTTTGCCTCAGGGCCCCTTGTGCAGCAGTTCCCAGACCAGAGTCCAGACTTCAGCAGCCCTGTATTCTGTGTACAGGGAAGCCCGTGAACTTTGACGACTATGGGGACATTCACGTCCCTGCTGTGATCCTGAAGACCTTCCTGCGAGAGCTACCCCAACCACTGCTGACCTTCGAGGCCTACGAGCAGATTCTCGGGATCACCAGTATGTACCTGGAGCAGGCAGAGGGAACTGGGTTCTCAGGTGCCATCTGCCAGCTACTGGCCCTGGGTCAGGCTTTGGGGTGGCCAAGGTGGCATCCACCCACCCTTATTCTGTTGCTGTTTAGCACTGTGGGGGAGAGAGAAGGGACCTGCAGGGCTGCCCACCACTCACTGTCCACAGACAGGCCCAGTCTCTCAGGTGCTATGGAACCAGGGGGTGGAGGTGGGGTGGCCAAGGGTGTCTCTAGATTTAGGGAACATCATCCTGGTCAGAGTCCTGCTTGTACCCCCAATACCCCATTCCTCCTCTAGAATGGGGCCTTCCAGCATTTATCTTCAAATTATTGTAGAACACCAAGTACATATGGTACACACAAGTGCTCAGTGCACAGATTAGTCACAAACAGCTCAGTAAAGGCATCTCAGAAGTACTGGGGAGTGCTAAGGAAGTCAACACTTCAAAAGAATTGTACAGCCTCCGGTCTTTTGTCTATGTAATCAAACACTTAATGGGGCTACCTCTGGACCCAAAGTTTCTTCTTGGAGCACTGTAAGCCAACGGAGGAAACCCGGTTTTTATGTTAATTCTAAAACAGCTACCTTAAGGTGTTTCAGAGACAAAACTTGAATAAGTCAGTGTTGCTTCCCTGCTGTGTTGTCAAGAATCACCTTTACCCAAAGAGCAGCTGGGCCTTCATCCTAGCCCCTGGCAGGTGACCTCTGAACCTTGGAATTTCCCAGGGAACGGCAGTGTCTTTGTTATTCATTGGAGACCTTAAAGATTTATAGTAACTGATTCTTATGGGGACTCAAGATGGAGCTGGCCACTCTGGAAACGCCACTCATGGGGTGAGAGGGTTGGGGCTTTGAGTCACATGAGACCAGTCTGACTCCCTGGGAAGGGCAGGAGGCTGGAGATTGACTGCAATCACGTGGCCACACCTCAAGGATACAAGAACTCAAACTCCCCACTGAGGGAAAGCTCCACCCACTAACACAGCTTTTGCTCCCAAGCACCTGCCAAGTGCCAAGCCCTGACTGAGATGGGGGAAGCGGCTGTCCCACAGACCAGATGGTCACAAAAAGGGTTGAGGGCTGGCTGACTTCAGCTAGTGGACAGGGTGCCTGGGAGGGTTTGGAGACGGGCTGGGCCTTCTGAAGACAAATCCTATCATATGCATGGAAGCAGTTATCTGATGGAGGTTGTCCAATTGGTGTCTACCCACTCGTCTGGCCTGGTGCCAGGAGGGCAGGGCAGGCGAGATGGACAACGTCCCTGTCGCCTGAATATACTGAACTCTGTTCTAGAGAGACGCTTCCAGACTTCATTAGCAGAGGGCCGCAAAGACATGATGACTCCAGTTCCTCTAGGCTCCTGCCTGAGAAAGCTCAGTGCTGCCAGGAGAATTGACAGGCCAAAGCCTGGTGACGGGCAGAGAGGCCCCTGAGCCCTTCCTTTCCTTGAGAGAGCTTGCAACTGTAAATCCTTTCTCTGCCCTTTCAGATGAAAATCTCCCACCACCCATTACTGTCCCCTCAAGGACCCAGAGCCATTTCTCTGAAGTGTTAACATTCAAAGAGATGACTCACTGTGGAAGGAGTAGGGCTGGAACCGTTGCCTCCTGTCATGATGACACCAGAAGCCTGTTTCTCTTCCCAGTAGGCACCGAAGAAATCCAGGTGGCATAGTCCCATCGAGTAACCCCTGTAGGAGAGGAAAAAACTCTTCCTTCTAACCCATCTTAGGTTCCTTGACTGGGGCCCTATACACTGGGCTGGTAGAGGGTGAAGTCACAAGAGGAAACTACCATTTTATTTAATATAAATTTTACCTGTCACTGGAGCCTTTGTAAGAAAATGAAGACCTGAAGACACAGTAATCCTGAGTGTTTTTATACCAGGTTTGAGGAAGAGTGGAAAATCATAGCAAAACATGATGGGACAAAGGAATATGAACCAAGGCATGGAAACTGGGGGGAACTTGACAAGTCCTGTTCATTGATTCCTTCTGGCATCCCTCCATCTTCAGAGATGAGGATGCTCCTTCCCTCTGGGCATAGGGAAGGGCCCCTCTCACAGGGGGTCTTTTGACCTGTTTCAGAGAAGAAGGGGGAGGTTACAGAGTCCTTCCTGCACCTGCCATTTTTTCAGAATTCTTCAACTTAACTATTCAATGTGCCCAGGTGCCATATTTTGGGGTAGTACCCTCCCCATCTGAAACTTTCTCCAAGAAGTGTCACAGTCACCGGGCTCGGTGGCTTAGCCTGTAATCCCAGCACTTTGGGAGGCTGAGGTGAGTGGATTGCCTGAGCCCATGGGTTCGAGACCCGCCTGGGCAACTTGGTGAAACCTCATCTCTACAATAAAATAAAAAATTAGCTGGGCGTGGTAGCGCACGCCCGGAGTTCCAGCTACTTGGAAGGCTGAAGCGGAGGGATCGCCGGCGCCCAGCAGGTCGAGGCTGCGGTGGCCGGGAGTGGCCACTGCACTCCAGTCTGGGTGACAGAGTGAGACTCCAACTCAAAAAAAAAAAGAAGTGTCACAGTGCAGAAACCAAGTTGGGAAACTGTCTCTTATTACAGTGAATCCTTTCAGTCCTGTGAGTAGGTCACTCCAGTTAAACAGTTGCATCTGACTTCAGGAGGCAGTGGTCTAGGTGGGAGCAGGGTGGCTACCTACGTGAGATCTTTGTGCACAAGCAATCGGCTATTTGATTGGGAGCATTTCTGTGTCAACAAACACAAAGGCTCCTGGGTTGAACAAACTATAAACCCAAGCTTTGGGTCCAGAGGGCATTCCATTGAGATTTCTAGATGGTTAGCTTGAAGAAGCCTTTCATGGTGGAATGAGAATGGCAGTAGCCAGCCCATGAATTTTCTAGTTTGCAATGTGGATAATTTTGGTGATGGCATTGGGTGTTCCAGTGAACTTTCCGAGTGGCTGATGCAGCAGGGGGTACAGGGTTGTCCATACATGATCTCTTGTGATGATTTCTTTGAAGTTCATGTCACATGTTCCTGCTTCAGCTTGCAGGGCTTTGGGGAAATGAGAGTTTTCATTCTCTGTGATGCCAAGTCAGGAAGATGGGAGAAAAAATGGAAATGTTTGGTGTGTTTAGCCGGGTGTTAGAAAAAACTGGAAGAACTGAGAACCCACAAGTATGTACTGTAGTTTTCCACTGAAGCATAATTTCTCCATATAGTTGGTACCTCTGCTTTTGATTCTTGTTTGTAAAATAAGTCTGGTTTCATTGGATTGGCCTGGTTTTTTACATATGTGTAGGAAGAATGGTAATTGACCTAGGCAGGTTCTTTTTAAGTTTGCTTTACTGGAATTTTTTTTTTTTTTTTTTTTTGAGACAGTCTTGCTCCCTCACCCAGGCTAGAGTGTAGTGTCACCATTACTGTTCACTGCAACCTCGAAACTCTGGACTCAAGTGATCCTTCTGCCTCAGCCTCTCAAGTAGGTGGGACTACAGGTGTGCACCGCTGTGCCCAGCCAATTTTTAAATGTTTTGTAGAGACAGGGTCTCACTTTGTGGCCCAGGCTGCAGTGCCTTGGTGCAACTACAGCTCACTGCAACCTTGAACTTTCCTGGGCTCAAGTGATCTCCCTACCTCATCCTCCCAAGAAACTGAAATTACAGGTGCACACCACTATGCCTGGCTAATTTTTAAATTTTTTTTTGTAAAGACGAGGTCTCATTTTGTTAGCCAGGCTGGGACGAGAACTTTTAATAAAGAATTGCAGATATTTAATTTATATAAGCACATATATCTCTATGCCAATTTGAATAGAATTTCTTTAAGGGGTTTTATAAATTAATTTGGTAATGCTATCCAGATATAGAAAAATTTCACATATTCATAACATACATACATATACCTGACATACACACACACAAACCGAGCTCTGATAACTCTTCATACAGTTTCACGCAGGTTTAAGTTACCTATTAAGGGCGAAAGCTTTTTGTCAGTATCTCAGGGGAAGACCTTTAAGATTTTTTTTATTTTCCCAGTTTGTTTCCAGATGGTCCTTTTAACTTTTATTTTCCACCAAAGGTATACCTAATCCATTGTGACTCAAAACCAGTAAGCCTTTTGACCATGGATGCAAGAGGCCTTCCCAAAAAAGGGTGTGGAATATGCAGTCCCCCCAGGATCCAAAGTTATCCCCAAGATAGCCGAAAGAAAGAAGGGCTTAGACAAGCCAAGAGCTGACCATGGTTGGTAGGATCATTTGCGATGGGATGCAACCCACATTCCGTCTGGCCATCTATACATTCTCGGGGCTCCAACCTGACAGCAACCTATTCCCTCCCCCGCAGTTGGAAGCCAAACTCATTACAGAAGCAAGCTCTCAGGACACAGAGTGAAACAAAAGGAGAGTATTTATCCTATGGTTCTCCTCCTAACAAACAACACAAGAGACAAAGAAAGCAGTGACTATTCCTGGGAGTCAAAGGACTGCCAAGAAATACTCAGTTTCAAATCAAATTCATGAAAGTCACAAGCCAAAGAACCAATTTTTTTTTTTGAGTTGGACTCTCATTCTGTCTCCCAAGCTGGAGCGCAGTGGCATGATCATGGCTCACTCCAGCCTCGACCTCCTAGGCTCAGGCGATCCTTCTGCCTCAGCCTCCCAAGCAGCTAGTACTACAGACACGCGTCACCATGCCCAGCTAATTTTCTGGATTTTCATAGAGCTGAGGTCTCACTATGTTGCCTAGGCTGGTCTCCAACTCTTGGCCTCAAGCGATCCTACCACCTCAGCCTCCTGAAGTGCTGGGATTTCAGGCGTGATCCAATACACCTAGCCAGAACCAATTCTAATAAACATTTTTCTCCCACTAGTCCAAATTTAGAAAGAGAAAAGACAAAGAGACTTTACCACCCTAATTCAATAGGGTCCTGTAGACAGCTGACTTTGGTAAGAAGAGTAAATCTTGGCTGGTTTTGCCGAAGGGCCTGAATTCTGCTGCAGCTTCCAGACTGAGCAAGGGGTTCCAGCCAATGTAGTCCATCTTCATTGTTGGTAACTGTAGGGGAGCAAAAAACATTTTCCTTCTACCCATGTTTGGCTGAGCCCTGTAACTCAGGCTGACAAAAGACAGATTTACAAGAGAGAAACATGCTAGTTTATTTAATGCAAGTTTTAGCCTCAGAGTTTTTATGTCGGGTTTGAAGAAGGGTATTACGTCATGGAAAACGTGACAGGACAAAGGGCTAGGAGCCAAGGGCAGGAAGCTGGGAGAACTTGACTAGGCCTGTCCATTCGATTCCTCTTGGCATCCCTCCATCTTCAGGGCTGAGAACGTGCCTTCCCTCTGGGCATAGGGAGGGCCCCTCTCACGGAGGGGTTCTACGACCTGCTCCAGGGGACAAGGCAGAGGTCAGAGTCCTGCCTGCACCTGCTGTTTCTCAGAAATTTCCAGCTGAATATATCCAGCATACCCAGGCGCCAGACTTTGGGGTGGTGTGTTGTGAGCCCTGTCACCCCTTCCTACCTTTATAAATGTCACTTCCCTGCCCAAGCCCTGCCATACACTCTGGCACCCCCCCCCCCCGCTCCTTCCTCATTCTCCCTCTGGGATGCCCACTCACTTCCGCACAGTTGACGTTGAGTTCTGTTCCTGCTCGCTAGTGCAGTTGGTATTATTGAGTAAAGTCTACCCTTACTGCTTTAACTAGAGTCCAGCTCTGTTTTTCTCTGACACTGGATACCTTCTTGTCAGTCCCTGTGCGTGCCAGGCAATGGCGATTTGGAGGGGAATAAACATGCAGGCCATCGCCATCAGGAATGCCCAGACGAGGTGCAAGGACAGATGCATTGTTGAACTAAGCAGAATTAAGTGACTGCTGCGTGTCTGAAAGAGGGCATGGACGTGTACCGCAAGAAAAGCAGGGATATCTGGAGAGGAAGAAGGACAGGGCAGAGCCTGGAGGTGTGACAGCTCATGGTAGCACTAAATTCAGGGGCGTGGGAGTGACACGACTGGCTGTGGTACATGAATTCTCAAGCTCTTCTAAGAATCAGCGCCCCACAGGGTGCATGGATGGTGAGGTCCCAGCTCAGAGCTTTGGAATCAGTGGGTGTGAGGAGGAGCCCAGGAATCTGCATCTCTACCCATCTCCCAGGTGATACCACGATGCTGCCAGTGGGTCAGGGCTTTGTCCGATGGAATGCCAAGCTGAGGTCACTGGACTCCTTTAGAAGCCACTTGATTCCCTGCACAGCTGTCAAAATATCACCTTGAGCAGTTTGGGGGAAAATTGTTCCTTCTTCCTCTGATATAAATATGGAAATGCAGGAAAGGGACTGGCCTGGCTTAATGGAAAGAGCTTTAAGGAAACTCTTTAAAGAGCTTAATGGAAAGCGTGAGCGATAGGTGAAGATCCGGTGCTGGAAAGCACCAGTCTTTCGGGGTAGGGCTCCATCCTGCAGCTTTCTTGCCCGTGAGTTTTTGCTTCTGGGACTGCCCCTGCCGCAGGAGCTGTTTTGAGCCATGCCTTTTTCTCATTCCCACCATCCTTTAATTCCTCCCCTTACATGCATGTCTGCTCTCTGTAATGGCTACACAGCCTTGCCGTGGCCATCACTCCTTGGGACCTTGTACTCTGTCTCACTGGCCCCCTGCTGATGCACATTTAGAGCTCTTTCCAGTTTCATTTTGCTCACTGCCAGCTGTGAAAGCTCTGAGGATCTGGTTGTGGAGAACTGAGAGGGTACCAGAGGCTGGGAACTCTGCCTCCGGGCCTGTGGCCTGATAAGCTGTCGTGGTTGAAATGCACCTCAGCAGCCGGGCTCGGTGGCTCAGCCTATAATCCCGCGCTTTGGGAAGCTGAGGTGAGTGGATTGCCTGAGCCCGCGGGTTCAAGACCTGCCTGGGCAACTTGGCGAGACCTCATCTCTACAATAAATAAAAACATCAGCCAGGCCTGGTAGCGCATGCCTGTAATTCCGGCTATTCAGAAGGCTGAGGTGGAAGGATCGCCGGAGCCCAGCAGGTCGAGGCTGCAGTGGCTGGGAGTGGCCACTGCACTCCAGTCTAGGTGACAGAGTGAGACTCCAACTGAAAAAGAAAAAAAAAAAAGAAATGCATTGGAGTGCTGGATATGGCAATGAAAGAACAGGATGCCCAGTTAAATTTGAATTTCAGATAAACAATGCATGCTTCTTCACTATTGCATGGGGCATACTTATACTCAAAAGTATTTGCTGTTTACCTTCAAGTCACATTTCACTGAACATCCTCTATTTTTTTTTCTGAGTGGGAGTCTCACTCTGTGGCCCAGGCTGGAGTGTAGTGGCACACTCACGACTACCCCAGCATCAACCTGCTGGACTTTGGCGATCCTTCCACCTCAGCCTTCCAAGTAACCAGAACTATAGGCATGCGCTACCACGCCCGGCTAATTTTTTATTTATTGTAGAGATGGGGTCTCGCCAAGTTGCCCAGGCTGGCCTCGAACCCACGGGCTCAGGCAGTCCACTCACCTCAGCCTTCCAAAGTGCTGGGATTACAGGCTGAGCCACCAAGTCTGGCCGTGTCCTCTATTTTATCTGACAGGCAGATGTGTCTCCTGAAGTGATGCAACGAACCCTTCCACTCGGGGACCTGGGCTTTCCGGGTGCCTATAGCGTCCAGGGATAGTGCTGCTGGGATAGCGCCTGATGTCCAGCAGGCGAGTTAAGGCACTGGGTCACAGCTAAACAGATCTAGATTCAAGTCCCAGCCTCGCCACTCACTAGCTGTGTGATCCTGGGCTGGTCATCCAAGCTCTCTGAGCTCACTTTCCTCATCTGTATACCCTGGAGCTGTTAAAATACTTGGCATGATTGCTGGCATGTAGTAAGTTTTTGATGACATTGCCTGCTGTGACAGCTTGCTGGTCCTGCCTGCTTGCCAGTGGGTGTGCCTTCTTGGTGACCCCAGTGAGAGCGAGGTGGACCTGCACCCATAAACACTGTAGGACCAAAATTTTTAGAACAGCCAGAGCAAGACGGCGGCCTCCAGACCTGACTGGTTCCTCAGAAACGCTCACTTCAGGGGAACTCTTTGTCCATTTGAATTACTGAACAGCAACAATAGTTTGATCTCATGGAATGATGCCTTTTATTAATGAGCCAAGAAGAAAGGTCACTGTGGGAGTTTCATGTCTTGGCGCCGGGTGTGTCTGTAGAGCACTCAAAGTGCTCCCCAGTAACTGGGGAGGGTGGCTAGTGTGTTGGAGGATATGGGTATGCCACCACAGGTGCGAGCGTGTGTGTGCATGTGTGTGCGAGTGTGTGTGGGGGGGCGTGTAAGTGCATGTGTGTGTGTATGGGGTGTGTGAGTGCATGAGTGTGTGTGCATGTAAATGTGTATGGGTGTTTGCATGTGGGAGCGGATGTGCAGGTGTGGGTGTGTGTGAGCATGTGCATGCAAGGGTGGGTGTGTGCAGGGTGGGTGTGTGCATGAGTATGTGTGCGGGCATTGTGTATGAATGTGCATATGCACGTGTGTATCTGCAGCTGCAATTTGGTGAATCCTTTGGTTGGTGGGTTTTGATGTGAACATTGCAGAACTCCAATGGAGCATGTGGTCATGAAGGCACTGTGGGGTCTCAGAGTGTGGGATGGTTAGGCCAGGCCCCAGGAGGGTGGCAACACTACCTTCCCCAAGAGCAGCGTGGTATAGGGATTTGGTGCTGTCATAAACAGGTGATCAGTCTAGAGCAGGATTGCAGATTTTTCCTGGAAAGAGCTAAATGGTAAATATTTAGGCTCATGGGCTGTACAGTCTCTGCTGCAACTCAACTCTGCCCTTACAAGGCAAATGCAGCCACAGACTACATGCAAAAAGGCCATGGGGTATTCCAATAAAACTTTATTGACAGAAGCAGGCGATGGTCCAGATTTGATTCATGGGTTGCAGTTTGCTCACCCCTGGTCTAGACCAACCCATTAATAAAGTGACTCAGCTCTGCTGGCTTCCTGGAAGATTATAGCTGTTGTGCCCGTTTTATTTTTATTTATTTATTTTTTTTTATTTTTTGAGTTGGAGTCTCACTCTGTTGCCCAGACTGGAGTGCAGTGGCACACTCTCGACCACCGCAGCCTCGACCTGCTGGACTCCGGTGATCCTTCCGCCTCAGCCTTTCTAGTAGCCAGAATTACAAGCGCGCGCTACCACACCCAGCTAGTTTTTTATTTATTATAGAGACGAGGTTTCAGCAAGTTGTCCAGGCAGGTCTCGAACCTGTGGGCTAAGGCAGTCCACTCACCTTAGCCTCCCAAAGTGCTGGGATTACAGGCTGAGCCACCGAGCCCAGCCTGTTGTTCCCGTTTTAGAGAGCCTGCAGAAAGAGTTTGCTGAGAACAGCCCCATGGCCAGGCAGTGGGTGGGGGCTCCAGGCCATCCTCCTCCATGTGCCAGTGCCCCCACCCCCAGGCAAGGATGTAGGCTGCCCTCAGGCCCCTGGAGCCAGCTTAGGATGGAGCCCGTGCCCTTTCAGGTGTGGAAAGCAGCCTGCGTGTCACCTGCTGCCGCCAGATCCTACGGAGTCTCCCAGAACACAACTACACCGTCCTCAGCTACCTCATGGGCTTTCTGCACGCGGTGAGTGGACAAAATGGGCAATGGGGTGAGGCCCAGGCTTCGTGCCTGGCCGTGATGGCCTCTCCCATCCACACCAAGCTGCCTGCGTAGACCAGTCCCCTGCTTGCCCCAGGGACGGGGTCACACCCTCCTCTGGCCTTGGAATATGACTCTCTGGCACCAAAGGACTCCATCCATGGCCTGGTGGGGCAACAGCTCTGCTGAGACACCCCCTCCTGCTGGACAGGACCAGCCATTCCCCTGCCCGCTCCCGTTCCTGGCCATCCCTTGGTCATTGCCTATGACCTTCATTATTGGGGTCCTCTGATCCCACATCACCTCCTGCATGGGCTGAGTCTCAGGGAGGTGGGGGCTATGTTCTGTGTCCAGGGCAAGGAGCCTGATACACGGTAGGCCTCCACTGTGCCCTGAACAAGGCACATATCACGCGTAGATTAGCTTCCTCTGGCTGCTGTGACAAAGTACCACAAACTGTGTGGCTTCAAACAGCAGAAACTGACCTCACTCTTCTGGAAGCCAGCATTCAAAATCAAGGTGTTGATGGGGCAGTGCTCCCTCCAGAGGCTCTAGGGGAGGACCCTTCCTGCCTCTCCCAGCTCCTGGTAGCTGTGCCACTCTGGTCTCCGCCTCTGTCTCCACGTGACCTTGTCCCCTCTGTGTGTCTCCTGTCTCCCATCTCCTTTTGCCTTTCTCTCACAAGCACACTTGTCATTGCACTTAGGGCTTCCGGGATAATCCAGCATGATCTCATCTTTAATGTTAAATTAGTGACATCTGCAAGGAGCCTCGTTCTAAACTGAGGCAGGGCTGGGTTGTGTCTGGCCGTTGTGGTCAGTTCTGTGAGAGCGGCTCCCAGCTGTGCCCACTTCTCCGGTTCTCTGCTATGCCCTGGCCCTCACGGCTCTGCTTTATTCCCGCTCCTGATCCTTTGAGGCTCCCCACAGCTTGGAACTTGTAGGGAGGTCAGGAGAAAAGAACAGGCCCTACTCTCAGATGGGTGTGCTGGGTCCCCCTGCCACTGACTGGCTACATGACCTTGGGCAAGTCTCCTGTACTCTATGGGGCCTCAGTTCCCTCATCTGTAAAATGGGGTGGAAGGAATCCCACTTCCTGGGGTGCTGGAGATGTTGGTGGAGACGGACAGAGAGCCCTTCAGGGAGGAAGCTCTTCCACTCTCTCCTCACTCCACCCGGGACCCCAACATGCTGGCTGGTCTTGATCATGCCTAGTTCACCAACCACAGCATGGAGCTGAGAGGTCATCCAGCTCATACCCACCCTGAGTAGGCTTCCTGGGTTCCCTGGAGTGGAAGAGGAGATGGTAGGGTGTTGAGGAAATGTCAGAGCCAAAGGATCCCCCAGGGCATTGAGGTCAATTTCTTCCTTTTACAAATAGGGATACTGAGGTCCTAAGCAGGGAGGTGGCTCAAGGTCACAGTACCAGGGGGTAGCTCCCAGGCCAGTGCTCTTCTTACTACTCACACCCCTCCCAGGGTTTAGGAGGGAATTCCAGGCCACTGCTGCCCTCTGGGTTCACTCCGCTTGTCTCACGTGTGGGTTCTTCCAGGTATCCCAGGAGAGCATTTTTAACAAAATGAACAGCTCCAACCTGGCCTGTGTCTTCGGGCTGAATTTAATCTGGCCGTCCCAGGGGGCGGCCTCCCTGAGTGCCCTTGTGCCCTTGAACCTGTTCACCGAACTGCTGATTGAGTACTACGAAAAGATCTTCAGCGCCCAGGAGGCACCTGGGGAGTATGTCCCTGGCCCCGCAGGAGCCAGCAAGCAGAGCAGTCCCTTCACCAGAGGATGTGCCGCCGACAGACGAGCTGCAGGCCTTGCCAGGCCTGTCCCGCCTCAGAGTCCCCCAACAACAGCCGGGAGACACCTCTAGTGTTGGAGATACACTTGTGTGTATTAAGCTACCTCCCCTGCCTGTCTGTGCACTTGCTTTATGTTTTGGAAACCTGCCATTGCGGAAAAAAAGCAGGTATTAAATGAACTCAGAACCTTCTAGTGAACATTCTGTGCTTCTGACTCTTGGGCTCTTCTCCACTATTCCTGAGCTGTGGGCCAGGATACAAGAATATGTTTGCTAGGATGATTCTTCTGCATCATAACCCAGCTGGAAATGGGAATTGATTGCCCAGGGTCTTGTGTCAGTCAGTACCTCGTGCTGCTGCAGTGCTGGGGAACAAACCATCCAAACCAGTAACAAAGCAACAGCTGTTCATTAGTGCCCTGGGTCAGCGGGGAAGTTTTTTTTTTTGGTCTTTTACGGGACTCGCTCACATGTCGGGGCTGAGCTGCCAGTCAGCTAAGGAGATTGCTCTCCTGCCTGTCTCTTATCGCAGCAGACTAAATGGGGCACATTCTCCCGATGCCGTCAGAGGTGCGTGCACAAGAGCTAGCGCGAGCAGTTTTCAAGCTTTAGTTCACGTCCTGGGGCCACAATGGGAGGGCCCTGCAAGGTTATAAGGGGGTGGATATGGGGAGGGTGCAGAATTGGGCATAAAGCAGTCAAGCTGCCCAAGCGCTCTAAGACAAGTTAGGATCTTGCCGTCCCAGACAGGCTGACCTTCAGGGTTGCAAGATGGGTCCTGTTTCCATCAAAGACAGTGGAGAAGAATGCACCGTCTCAGTTCCACGTTCCCATCAAAAAGCCCCCAGGTTCACCTTGATTGGGCAAGCTTAGGTCACACGCTCACCTGGACCAAGCACTGCAGCCAGGAAAGGTTCTGATTGGTTCAGACCCGAGTCACGTGCCCCACCCTGGGGCTGGAGTGAAGCCCCACCCAGACCTGGCAATGAGGGAGGTGTGGCTCCCCAGACTAATATCACCCCAGAAAGACATCAAGCCGTCCTCCATGGAGTAGGTTAGCTACAAGTCACACGCTTGCCGCAGAGCAGGGAGAGGGTCCTGGGGAGAAAGTACCAAAGTCCCCTGCAGATACCTTGTTTTGGGGCCTCTCTTTGCCTGAGTGGGGTGTTGACCCCGGCTGCGTGGTGACCCTTGGGGGCTCGTGTGGATGCTTGGGGTCACCCGCTGTACTAGGTCAAGCCGACGTCTGGGGCTCCTCCTCTTCACTCTCATCTTCACATGATTAGTTCCACCCCCCCACCCCACCCTCGTTGGTATTTTTTGCCCTGTGTTCAGTCTTTAAGGGAAGGGCCGATGTGACTGCTGAGTGACCTCCCACCCCTGTCGCTGCATGGAGGGCACCTGGCACTGAGGACAAGCAGGATCTGTGCGTGCGGCAGGGGGGGTTCTACTCCGTTCTCCTGAGCCAGTCCCAACACCGATTGCGTCCCCTTCCCAGTGGTATTGCAGTGTCCCTGAGGTCTGGCTTCTCGGTTACTATGAGGTTGATTCTGTTCAAGTTTCTTGAAGCTGTTTCTGGATAGAGTAGATGGGACTTATTCATGAGGACGCTGGTCATGTGTGTCCAGCTCCGGTGGGAACCACACTCTGAGTCTATCTTCCTTCTGAGAGAGAGGACTGCTCGGCGGCCTCAAGGCCGGCGCTGTCGGGGCTAAGCCGGGTCTCTCCTGTGGAGCAAGCGATGCTAGACCACAGACTGGCGAAGAGACACCACCACCACATACATCCACTGAGGCCCTGCTGTGTGCCCAGGTGGTACAGAGTGGCTTTCACAGGCCCTGGTAAGCCTCGTGGCATCCCAATGGGGGAGTCATCTTTTGGGGGGCTTGAGGAAGCCCCAATAAATGACACCTCCCTTCTCTGCTTGAGCTCAGAACCATTTGAGAGAGAGGTCGCTCAGGATCCCCACAGATGGGATCAGATGTTTCCCTAAAGCTGCTCAGAGATCTACCTCTGTGGCCAAGGGCCTTTGCTAACTGGCCGCCTTGATTCAGCCTGGCTCACTGGTCAGAATATTCCCTCTTCTTCCCAAGGGGTTGGCAGAGAGAGGAAGGAAAAAAGGGAGTACTGATTCTACCGATGAAGTTTCTCCCCTTGGGGACAGGGAATTGGTCTATGTCGATACTCCCATAGTAGTCTACAAATGAGGACCCAGAGGTTCAGAGAAGTAAGAGAATGCACTCAAAGTCATACAGCTAGTGAGTAGAAGACCTGTGCAACCCTATGCTCTTCCAAGCTGTAGGAACCAAGGGGATGCAACTGGGCCTTGGTCTTCCCATCTGTACAGTGGGGATATATACCGTTTGCGCCTCTCCTGCTCTGAGAACGCAGCTAGAAAGCCGTAAGGTCAGCCGGGCTCAGTGGCTCAGCCTGTAATTCCGCACCTTTGGGAGGCTGAGGTGAGTGGATTGCCTGAGCCCGCGGGTTCGAGACCCGCCTGGGCAGCGAGACCTCATCTCTACAATAAATCAAAAAATCAGCCGGGCATGGTAGCGCATGCCTGTAATTCCGGCTACTCGGAAGGCTGAGGCGGAAGGATCGCCGGAGCCCAGCAGGCGAGGCTGCGGTGGTTAGGAGCGGCCTCCAGTCTGGGTGACCGTGTGAGACTCCAACTCAAAAAAAAAAAAAAGCCATAAGGTCTGAGCTTGAACCAGCTCCACCATGTGCTGTTAACTCTGAGTAAGTTTATTTTTTTATTTTTTGAGTTGGAGTCTCACTTTGTTGCCCAGGTTAGAGTGCTGTGGCACACTCACAGCCACACCAGCGTCGACATGCTGGGCTCCAGCAATCCTTCTGCCTCACCCTTCCAAGTAGCCAGAACTACAGGTGTGCACTACCACACCCAGTTAATTTTTCATTTATTGTAGAGATGAGGTCTTGCCAAGTTGCCCAGGCTGGTCTCGAACCCACAGGCTCAGGCAATCCACTCGCCTTGGCCTCCCAAAGTGCTGGGATTACAGGCTGAGCCACCGAGCCCAACTTACTCTGAGTGAGCTTAAACTCCATGTGCCTGTTTCCTGTCTGAACATGGACTGATGGTGAGTGCTGACAACCCAGCATGGACATGGAAGATGTATCTGCTGCCACACAGTATCTTGGATGTTTCCTGATCATACTGGAAACATCTAGATCTTAAAGAGTTTAAAGTAGGTTTTTGGCTGGGTTCAGTGGCTCATGCCTATAATCCTAGTACTTTGGGAGGCAGAGGTAGGAGAATTCCTTGAACTCAAGAGTTTGAGACCAACCTGGGAAACATAGTGAAAGCTCATCTCTACAAAAAAGTTTTTAAAACTAGTTGGGCATGGTGGCGTGTGCCTGTAGTCTCAGTTATTCTGAAGGCTAAAGTGGAAGGATTGCTTAAGCCCAGGAGGTCAAGGCTGCCGTGAGCCAGGATTGTGCCACTGTACTATAGCCTAGACGACAGAGTGAGACCCTGTCTGGATGGATGGATGGATGGATGGATGGGTGAATGGATGGATGGATGGATGGTTTTTGTATGTCCTCTCACACGACCATCCAGACTCCTGGACTCTGCAAGGCCCACTAAGCACATCTCTTCTATACTGCAAGTTGCCCTAAGCAGAGAGGATTGGTTTGCAGATGCCTCCAGAATGTACACATGACTGGAGTTCTGGGCAGCCTCTGCACCTATGTCCCTTGAGAAGCTCCAGCCCTCTGCTCACGCTGTGCCAGCCCTCACTCAGCTGGAGGGTCACGACTCATGCCCTCAACTGTCCCAGGACTCCATGGGATAGGACGGTAGGAACCCAGGCCAGAGCCCTGGGTATTCAGAGGAGACAGAGGCCTTAGCAGAGTCTTCTGGGCTCTTCTGTTTCCCTTTCTCCCAGCTCCTCCTTCCTCACTGATCTCTTGTCCAGTGTCCGTCTGCATCTTCTCTCTCCCCTTGGTCATCTTTTTACACCCCCATGCCCTTCATCATACGCTATCTGTCTCTTCTGTTTTTTCTAGATGTCTATCATTCCCAGCTAACCTAGGCCAAATGATTCTTTTGTGTGTCTTGAAAACAGGTTAGTGTTTCGCTTTCTATTCTGCTACAAACCCTTTTTCTTTTCTTTGATTCATGTATGCATTCTTTTATTTTTAACACAACCCTCCAGCTCTGACCAACCAGGGCCAGGCCTAGGGAACCTAGACCAGGACTGAGTGGGCCCCCAAGAGCAGTGCTGGCTGCCCGTCCTCCAGCCACAGCCTCTGGAAAAGCCACTCTTAGCTTGCACCCCTCCCCAGGAAGGCGTCTTATTTAGAACAATCCTAAAACGGCCTAAGAGTTCTGTTGCCAGAAAAAAAAAAAAACTGAAATAAAAATGATGGCTCCCTTAAGAGCACACCATTGTGAGCACCAGAATTAACAATGACATTAAATCAAATCTCATGCATTATGCAGAGAGGTTTACAGCGAAATGCACGTCTGTGAAATCTATGTTTCAAATTTTCTGACTCTGAGAGGTGGCCCCGAGATGTTCTCCTGTGGCTTCTTTGATAACAGTTTCCCTTTTACAAACGATAATTGTGGAATCCTAGCTTAGCACTGTGTGGCCTTGTCACCCTTCCTTGTATCAAAGCACAATTTCCCAATCATTTCCACAGCAAAAGAAAGCGATTACAGTGATAATGTGTTGGAAGCACATTGGTGCATTTCAGCTTAAAACAATGAAGTGTGATGCTGAAATGAGGACTCCAGGGTGTCTCTATTGACAGGACGCACAGAATAAATTGTCCAAACATTCACTTTTGCAGTAACAACGGAGATTTTAAGTGACTCCAGAGATTAGGCAGGCTGCCCAGAACTTGTAACTGACATCCACAATGAATTATTGAATCCTGTCCAGACATAAAAGTCTGCAGCAAATCAAGTAGTCAGTCTACCCTGAAGAAACCCAGGCTTCTGTCACTGGAGGAGCAAAGACAGGACACCCCACTTCTGGTCCCACCACAGATTCACAGCTGTATGACCCTCAGCAAGTCATTTAACCCAGCAGGGGGAGTTCAAAATCAGAGGACTCAGCTTGGGTTCCCTCCCCACACAGTGGGTGTGTGACCTGTCTTCCAGATTTTCCTTATTTGTGTGACAGGGAAGATTGTATCCACTCTGCAGTTCCCTACTTTGTGCCAAGCAATGTGAGTCACACAATT